CTACATTCAATTTCAATTATTAAATTTCAATTATCACACTACAAATTTACAATTACAATCTTACACGTCAAATTTCTTTTAATTCTTGATTTGTTACTTACTATGCATTTTATATCAATTCATAAATGGATCCAAACTCATTTGTTGAAGGCTTGCCCGGTATCGGAGGCGAATCACCTATCATGCCTCAAAGTCAATTTCAGAATAAATTCGCCGGTCTAAACGAAGTATCTATTCCCGAAAATAATATGGATTTCGATGCTTATGGAAGTAGTAATCCAACTGATTTGGATGATGTTGATGTTTTCGAAGCGGAACAGAAGGATAGATATGAATTAGATATTCCTGATGCAAGAGAAAAGCGAAAAGGGGAAAAATACGCAAAAATGTTGTGATCATTTTAAATTGATTCAAACACATCGTGTGGTCGATGGAGTTGCAGAATCTAAAGTAGTATATAAATACTGTCATCAACAATTGACATGACAAAAAGTATTGGAATCACTCACTTCAACCGTCACTACAAAGCATGTGCGGCTAAACATGGGCTTCTTCATGCTGGTCAAACGCAACTGCAATTTTGGTAGTCCGGCACCGGTTCTACTGCTATGCCACTTTCTACGTAGATGTATTCGGAGGAGAGCTTGAACGGGAATGGTGAAGTTCGTTGCCGCTGCTAAGTTACCTCTAACAATAGCAAACAACCAACATTTCATCTCGTATGTGAAAGAATATCTTCAACCGAGATACGTTGGAGTAAGTCGAAACACACTTCGTTCAGATATAGTTGAATATTTCCTTCATACAAAGAAACTATTGATTACAAATTTAGAAAAATATGGTGGTGTTATATCTTTAATTTCGGATATATGGGAAGTGATTAATTAAAGATGTTATATAACTGCAACTGTACACTACATAGACCCACTTTGATGTATGTATTAAAAAAAATATCACTTTTAAAATTATTGAATTCACTTACAATGCTAACAACATATATAATGCTATTATGAACATTATTAGAGAATATCGTTGCGAAAGTAAAATTCGTTCATTTACATTCGACA